TGCCTCAGGAGCACTGATGGGTGTAACCTGATAAACCTAAGCTCCTTGTGGAGAGAGGGAGAAAGGACAAAGCAATTTCATCCTACTCTTTCATCCTACAAAACATATAATGTTAGCAGCACACCTCTATTCTAGCATGACACTAGAGCCAGAAGCATAAAGCTGTATCATTAAGGGCCCAGTCAAAATCAAAGAAAGTCAATTGAGAAGGCAATGTGAAACTGGAGTTATCCTGACAACCCATGGGTTGTATCCCACCTTCCTCACCCTAGGCAAACTGAAGATTGGGAAAGGGGCCCCTGGGCAGGACACTCAGCGTAGACTAAGTCTAACTTCAAGGAGAGACAAAAGCTTTCCTCTGCTTATGACTCAACAAGGTGAGTATAGACAAAAGACATCACTATGCTTTTTGGAATAACAGAAACGATGCCATTCTAGGACATTCTGACCTCCTGTGTATGAGTCTGACAGCAGAGTGTGTGCTCATCATCCCAAAGGTTGTGAGACATTATAACCATAACCAAGGGAGGAAAGAAACTAAACAAGTAAACATCTGAAACCAAATTTCCAAAGTTTGGAATTGGACCCATTCCCACAGCACTTCCAAATAGGCAAGACCAGGTCCGACTCTTATCAGACATGCCTCACTACTGCAGAGGACAGACTGATGGAAACACGATGTGAAGAGAGCGACCATCAGCCCAGCAGATTTTGAATCTGTGGCAAAAACAAGTTCACAGGAGGGAAGCCTAAGCCACAGCATGTGGTGTTGAGCATCAGCCCTGAAGCTAGGATCCCAGGACATGTCCTCAGGCATACTCCTCTTCCTCATAGGCAGTGGTGAGAGACCTCCCTGACTCAAGCGCAGCAGAAGGTTTGAGAGGGAGGGCCAAGTCTCACCAAGGCCCAGAAGTCACTGCCTTTCATAGAACATCTTCCCACTTGGGCAGGGTTTGAACCAGCAATTCCTCTGGTACTTTCTACAGGATCTCTAGAATTGCTGAAAGGTGGCTTCTTTGTCAAAGATTAGCATTTCCTAACACTGAGATTCTTGGGAAATTCAGCGATACTGACGGAGCTGGGTGTTTCTCAGAGATGGTTTGAACTCACAACTTTGTTCTTTCCATGTAAGTAAGGTTTCTAGAACTGAGGCTCTGAGTGTTCACTGGCCAGCAACTCTGTCTGGTCAGTCTTGTACTTCCAAGTCATGTCAGTTCACAGATACTTCACCTCTGCATTAGGAGCCTCTCTCTCATTATCCTGAGAACTGCAGGTTGAAAGCACCTGGAATATCAGCATGCTCCCCTGACTCAGTCTACCTAGAATGGAGCCTCGTGCAGTCTAAGAGCCTGCTTCCCAATATCTAGGCACATCCTTCTGGTTCCAGAGAAAGTCTTCTGAAACTCCCATTCTAAGACCTTGAGCCAAGACACACGCACACACACACACACACTCACACACACACGCACACACACACACTCACCCACTGAAAGACACGCTCACATGAAGATCTTCAAGAGCATTTCTTTTGTGTCAAAATCAACGTGAAAAGGCACAGAATGGGATAATATACTCTTGCTTGTAAGGAAGAGTTTACAGATTCCAGCAGTGTTTTTACCCCTGTGATACTTTTTCCAGCAGTGTTTTATTGTCCTTGATGATCAGCCCGGGTCCAAGTGTAGATGAAAAAGACAGAGCACAACTTTGATAGAGAGCATCACATGGAGTCTAACTCTCAACAGGCAACCCTGGAGCAAGGGACCATGCCTAAGGTCAGTTCTGAACAGCAAATTCTCCTGAGCATTCTTTCTCCCAAACCTGAAACACTTGATACCAACATGCTCCACATAATGAATACTTTCCCATTGTTCTTTATGAGCATGTCATCCTTTCTCAAAATGAAACATGTACTACTCAAGTGAGCTTATGTCACATATGAGCAGAAAGATACATAAACCAATGAAACTCAGGGTAGGCAACACTGTCTAACACAGGACTATGTGGTTTCAATGAAAAGTCTTCTATTATGATTCCGCTCTTTGTCATATGTCACTACTCAATAGTCAAATAATATCTGGAGAGAGAGTACAGGAGGTAAGGATTTATTTCTTATGATAGCCTCAAATACTCTCCCCATACACACACACACACACAAGCACACACAGCAAATGGCAACAGAGCTATGGTCGGTGCTCATCTATCAACATGGAGGAAACATTTCCAGAGTTTACTTATTAACAGTAACTCCCAACACTCACCTATGTAGACCAGTGATGCAGTGGCTTCCACCACTTTTTCCCTCCTGCTAAGACTGAGCAATATAGGGTACCTGTTTTGACTTCTCAGATCATGTCTGTGAGTACTGGAATTCACTTGACACACCATCCCAATGTAGAGTAATATTTATTAATTTGTGATCACACACACATGAACATGTGCATACATAGTCACATGTACACACTGTGATTCCTAAGCTAATTTTGCTAGAGTGAATAAACATCAAGAATTGCCAAGGGGGAAAACTAAGGAGTTGAAGGTTATCCTCTCTCAGAACCTTAAATTCTAAGGGTGTTCAGGACAGAGAAGAAAAATGGTGAACAGAGATTTACAAGGATCCAAGGCATCTCCCTGGACATGCCCTTCCATTAGTGAATTCCAGAGGTCAACCTTGGAGCCCACATATACCACTCTAGCAAGTAGAACCAGTGACGATTCTTCAGTATTAAGTCCCCCATCCCCCAAAGGATAGGAGGGTATAGCTTTCTCCTTGTGAATTGAAGGTATCTTTGTATAACTTTTCCTTATGCTTGTTTTCTGCTCTTTTCTTTCCACCCAAGGTACCCCGGGTTGCCAAAGCGGTGCCTGGAATCATTCAAAGATGCAGGTCTGGATATTTATGAATTGATGTCCTATGTAGTACAACATGTTAGAGTACTAGGGCACTCCCAATTATTAATGATATGAATTCTGTAACGTCCTTGCGTCATCATCTGAAAGTGGACGAGTCGTTGTCCTCATCAGGGGAAGTAGACTTGTGTACGAAATGGACACAAGGGTACTGAACACAAACAGGAGAACAGGGTGAACCCATGACAACTCTCAGGTTGCTGGAGTTCACAGGACCTGCTACTTAGTCCCCTGTGTACCTGTGTATCTCAGGACATTGGCTGTCTGCACTGCTGGTGCTGACTGGTAGAGTATAGATAACTTCCATCCGAGTACTAAGAACAGCAAAGGAACTCCTAGAGATCATTCTGGGTATTTCTTGCCTCAAACCAAACATGTGCCTTGAGTTTTCCACCCTGTGAACTTGAAGACACGGGAGGAAACTAGAGATCCTATTGATCCTGACTACCGAGACCCTGAACTTCCATTTGATCTGTTTGATGAAGTCTGGCATGGATGGGGGTGGGGGGGGCTCATATCGAGAGTGCTGGAGGACAAATCAAATCCAAGATGTCGGTCCTCCCACTCTGTCCTCGTGACTTATATGAGTGGAAAGGAGAGGGATGACCACTATCTCTCAATCTACTTCTGCCACCCTGGGACAGGATAGGAAGGCTAGGACTGATAGAGTATGCAATGAGCCCCTGCAAGCACGGGCCTTGAGTCCTGTCAGCCTTACTCAGTAGCTATCAATCCACACCTGGTGAACTGATGTTCACTTGTTTTTGCCAGCATGGGAGTGAATCTCCACCACTCCATTTCTCAGGGTACTATGGACTCAGGCTCAAGCACGGAATAGCTCTTTGCCAGAAAGGAAAGCCAATTTTGGGCCCTATGCAGGCCTTTTGGGCCCTTTTTTCTGTAAAATGAAGAAAATAGCTAAGGAAGTTGACTACCGAGGTGTCCTCAAGGAGTGGACCACAGTGGTATGCCTACACAATTGTAAAATCCAGTTAGAGGTGTTATCTCACCCTTTCACTCTGACTTTTGAGAATGAGCAGTATCTTAAAAAAAACGACATTTCTTGTCTGGGCCTTGGACAGTGGCAGTGATGGAGCCTGCTAGTTGATGTGTCTGTTATGTTGGCAATAGGGTGGAGTGAGCGGGGCCAATACTGTCCTGGTCAGGCCCAGTGAAGAGAGAAAATGGAAGAAGATGAGAGAAGAAGTTTCATTGATTTTTTTTTCAAACAAAATAGATGAGTTTATTGCAGAGGTTTGGCTGACTTGCCAGGAAATGCAGGCTGTTGGAACAATAAGTTTCTGGTTATTTGAGTCAAAAATTCTAAGATCACTTGAAAATAAACTGTTGGTAGTAACTTTAGTTTTTGTGGTTTTCTTGTTTGTTTTGAGGCCACACCTGGCAGTGCTCAGGACTAACTCCTGGCGGGGCTTGGGAAACACATGAGGTGTCAGGGATCCAATCCGGTTGGCATTGTCCAAACACTGTCCACTGGGGACCTCCAGCCCCAGTATCTTCATGTTAATTGTGAATTTTGTTCCTGGGGCACAACTGGTAGGTTTATTCCTGGCTTTCTGCTCAGGGATCTTGATATGGTTCAAGGGATCATGTGATGCCCAGGATCAAACCTGGGTCAGCTGCATGCCAGGCAAGTGCCCTGCTCACTTGTACTCTTTCCAGTCCAGTAGCTCTGGTTCCTCCAAGGTCTGACTCCTGAGTGACGAGCACTGCATGTTTGTTTCCTTATGCTGAGATCAGTTCTACCTGTCAACTTGAGTCTGCAAAGTGGCCCTTTCCTCTGGACTTCCTCCCTTTCCTCTGAATGATGCCTTCTGCCCACACAGTATGAATAAAAAGATTAGATGTAGTCAGCTGTATAGCTTTATGATCATTTACAGTTTTCAGTTTTGTTGGCTTTAATTATAGTTATGGGGGAAGTAACATTAAGGACATCCAAAGGTAGTTACAAATGAAAGTTTGGGAGTTTCTCTTCAAGGCTGTGTAACCATGAAAACTTTGTTATTTTCCTTCAGTATCCTAGTGTGAATTTTTTTAAAACTTTTTTTCTAGGTTTAATGGGGCTATTTGAAAAACGTCAATTCAGAAAATTCCTAGTGTATGTTGCCAATTTTGATGAGAAAGATCCTCGGACCTTTGAGGGTATTGATCCTGTGAAGACAACGATGTGGGATGTGTACAAAAAGTTTGACATGGGCCAAGACATCATAAATTTTACTGGCCATGTCCTAGCACTTTATAGAACTGATGAGTAAGAGTTTTGGATTTTAGATTTATCGTTTCATTGCCAAACTTACTGAGTTTCCTTATATGTTATGAAATAAAGAGGCTCTAATTATAATTTTATATTAGGCCTTTTAAAAGTGAAAAATGACATTACTGATGTTACAGCTTCAGAGGATTGTAAATTGAACACGAGAATGAAATCTAAAGCCCTTTTCTGATATCCATTTCCTTTTCAGCTATTTAGATCAGCCATGTTGTGAAACCATTGTCACTGTCACTGTCCTCTCGTTGTTCATCGATTTTCTTGAGCGGACCCAGTAACATCTCCATCATGAGACTTCTTGTTACTGTGTTTGGCATATCGAATACATCATGGGTAGCTTGCCAGGCTCTGCCGTGCAGGCGAGATACTCTCGGTAGCTTGCCGGGCTCTCTGAGAGGGGCGGAGGAATCGAACTCGGGTTGGCCATGTTGGCTGCCTGCAAGGCAAACGCCCTACCCGCTGTGATATCGCATTAATCAGATTAAACTTTACAGTGAGTCCTTGGCAAGATATGGCAAAAGCCCATATCTTTATCTACCCTATGGCCTTGGAGTACTGGCGCAAGGATTTGCCAGGTGAGAACCCACGTTAAATGGATGTGCTAAATTTAAACCCTGTGGACCCTGTTCTGCTCTTCTGTGGAAGTAAATGAGATGCAGTTGTGAATGATATGCCTGTCAAAAATTTTCCTTTTTAAAAGTTTGAGTAAAATTTATGGTTAATGTAACCACAAACTATGTTGAATAATTTGTGTTTGATGACTATAGATCTGGATCACCAGAACGCCAGTCAGGATAAACCTTTCTAATCATCCAGAAAGTTTCCTTCTACCTCCTCGTGTAATCACTTAATAGCTACTATATCTGTGATTTCTATCACTGTAGATGATTTTGCCTGTTTTTGAAATTCAGATAAAGAAACTAATATAAGACACGGGCTGAAGTGAGAGCACAACGGGTAGCTTGTTTGCCTTGCACGCAGCCAACCCTGGTTTGATTCCTCTGTCCCTCTTGGAGAGCATGGCAAGCTACCGAGAGAATTCTGCCCACACGGCAGAGCTTGGCAAGCTCCCCCTGGTGTATTTGATATGCCAAAAACAGTAACAACAAGTCTCACAATGGAGACGTTACTGGTGCCTGCTCGAGCAAAGTGATGAACAAAGGGAGGACAGTGCTACAGTGCTAATATAAGACATTCATTTGTCTTAGTTTGGCGCTATAGCACAGCAGGTAGGGCATTTGCCTTGTACATGGCCAACCCGGGTTCGATTCCTCCATCCCTCTCGGAGATCCTGGCAAACTACCAAGTCTCTCTCTCTCTCTCTCTCTATATATATATATATATGTATATATATACAATAAATGAGTGATTTGCATCCGCAAAGTATAAGTAGAAAAAATAATTACTCTAAGAAAAACAAAATAGCCAGAGTGGTATTATAGAGGAAAGGAACACTTGCCATGCCTGCTGCAGACACCACACCCTGCCAGGAGTTACCCATTCCAGTAGACAGAGCCAGAAATAAGCTGTGAGCATTGCTGGGTGTGACAATACCAAAAAAAAAATCACATAGTGAAGGGAACAAAAGAATCAACAGTGCACACTGCATAAGTATAGATAAGTACTACAGGACTTATCTATCAGTGATAGTTACATAGCTAGGATATACACAGGCAATATGGACTTTACCAAAACTGCACTGTTGCTGTGCAAAGAAGAAAAGATAAAATTGTGGTGTCTTGTCTTATATACCTCTATGTGTTACTATGTCTGCATAAGTATTTGCTGTAGCGGAAAAAAAAATCATGTGAGAACAAATTATTAATTTTAGGCCCCAAACGATTCTGAAGTCTTCCTTCATAAGGCAGTGAGGAATAGAGTGCCAACGTGCTTTTCCCCAGAGTGCCCAATTCTAGCACAGCGGGTAGGTCGTTCTCCTTACAAGCGGCCAACATGGCCGACCTGAGTTCGATTCCTCTGCCCCTCTCGGAGAGCCCGGCAAGCTACCAAGAGTATTCTGTATGCCAGACACAGTAACAACAAAGTCTCCAATGGAGACGTTACTGGGCCCGCTCGAGCAAATCGACGATCAACGGGAGGGCCTTTACCTTTACCTTTTTTAAACAAATATATATATATATACATATATTTGCATTATTATTTTTAAATTTTTGCATGATGACATTGAGATTCCACAGTGACATTAGATTACTGGGCTGCCTCTCTCAGGAGAAGGTGACAATTCATGAGGTCATGTTTTCTTGCCAACAAAGAGAGCCCTGGGGCCAGAGTGACAGTACAGCTGGAGTAGGGCTCTGTCCTTGCACATAGCTGACCAGGGTTTGATCCTCGACATCCCATACGGTAATTACTCTTGAACACCGCCAAGAGTAATTCATTTTTCAAAAAAATTTTTATTAGTGAAACACCATGAGGTACAATTGAAGACTTACAAATCTTTGTGCTTGGATTTCAGTTATACAATGATCGAGTACACATCCTCCAGCAGTGCCCATTCTTCACCACCATGGTGCCAGAATAAATCCCACACCCCATACCCCCATCCCACCTTGACTCTGTGGCAGGGCATTGCCTTTTGTTCTCTCTCTCCTTTTGGGTAGTGTGGTTTGCAAAAGAGGCATTGAGTGGCAATCATGTTTGGTCTATAGTTCACTTTCAGCATGCATTTCCCATACTGGGAGGATCTTCCCTACACCCTTTATTTGGTGCTCCCTTCTCTATCTGAGCTGCCTTTTCCCCTAGCTTGTGCGGCTGGCCTCCAGCTATGGAGAAAACCTCCTGGTATTATCTCGGCTATTCTTGGGTATTAGTCTCCTATTTTGTTACTTTATGTTCCCCAGATAGAAGTCTGGAAATCTCATTTAAAGTCCAGACACGGTTAAATGCCCTGGTCCTCCACATTGCAGGAAAAAAGACGCAAAATGAGATTCTGATGCACCTTTCATGGTTCCTCTTCATGTCTTATTTTCCTCAGTCATTCTGGGCCCCAGGACACCAAACAATTAATTTACCTTGTTTTTTTTTTCTGGTCTTCCACTAGCCATAACAGAGGCAATATAAGCAGGAAAAAAACATATCATAGAGAGAACAAAAGGGAATGCCCTGCCGCAGAGCCAGGGTGGGAGGTGGGAGGCATATTGAAATCAGTGGTGGTGGAGAATCGGCACTGGTGGAGAGATAGTTATTTGATCATTGTATAACTGAAACCCAAGCACAAGAATTTGTAAATCTGGAACTGTACTTCATGGTGTTTCACAAATAAAAATTTAAAATAAATAAATAAATAAATAAAAAGATGAAACTTGCAAAAAAAAAAAAACCACACATCATAGTCATTCTAGAACCCCCATCAATCCTACTCAAAATTGGTTTTTAATTGATTTTTCTGAACTAACTTAATGAATTGCTGAGTGGCAGGAGGGGATGGCGATTCTCGAATTATCCTAAGTTATTGTGTCCCAGCATGTTCCCTGAATGAGGATCCTATTTGGCCTGCTATCAGGATGGGCTGATTGAAGAACCCATCTAAAATAAGACAAGTGAAGACGAGGATGGTGTATCATCACTAGATAGAGATAAAAGAGGAAAGAAGAATAGGTGTATATGACTTGCCCAGATAATTAACTGTGGGAGACACACAAGGATTAACTGAGAAGGGGATGGATATTATTGGAGCGGGGGGGGGGGCAAGAGAGTGGAAAACATAGAAAGTCATACAAAATGAACAACCTTTGGGAAGGAACACTCATTGCTTTGGCTGTAATTTGCAAAAGATATTCTTTTTGAAGTATATCCACCACTGAGAGAGCACTGTGTGTATCTAAACTGTGTGAGGAGATAGCAGGAGCTTGAAAACTGTGGCAAGAATGACCCGCTCAACAAGGCAGCTTTTGTACTTGATTCTAACATAACTTAGCCATCGGAAAAAGTTAAGACCACGTGGGAACCATAGTAGAATTTGCCCCTCATATGGAGTGTCAAAGGAACATTAATATCATAGATTTCCCTGCATCCAGGCTAGATACAGTCATGCCTGCATGGTTCACTGAAGCATTACTCTCTAGTGGAACCCTTCATCTGATTTTGTGCATTTGCTTGAGAGGAAAGTTCCCGCTGGACTACAGACACAAGATTATATGAAGGAAAAACTTTAATCATCCAAGTCCAGTTCTGCTGCCATTCAAGCCAGTCCAGCATTCCTCAGAGTGGATGGATAGAGAAAGTGCTTCTTTAGGATTGTGACTGAAATTTGGCAGACTGTGATCTTAAAACCTTGAGATCCAGAGTCTCTCACGATTAAAAAGTAAGATCCCATCAGAATGATCCTGCAAGGTAAGTTTGGAATATCCAGGAAACAATAATCAAAACCTGAGTGGGCACTGATCTGTTGGAGGCAGGTCTTCTAGGTATAATCTTGCACTTAAAAATCTAAAGTTTTCTTGTATTTAACAGAACAAACCCCACATTAACTGTGTTAAATATGTTTTGGTGGATGGATGAGGGAAATACTCTTTATATTTTCAAAACCACACATACAGAAGGGTTTTTGCTTCAGGGCCTTTTGAGCACATTCATAATTTCATTTGTATGTAATTAAAAGGGCTGGAGCAATAGCACCGTGGTAGGACATTTGCCTTGTGCACAGGCAGCCCGGCCAAGCATGGTTCGATTCCTTCACCTCTCTTGGAGAATCTGGAAAGCTACCGAGAGTATCTCACCCGTGAGGCAAAGCCTGGCAAGCTACCCGTGATGTATTCAATATGCCAAACACAGTAACAACAAGTCTCAAAATAGAGACGTTACTGCGCCCGCTCGAGCAAATCTATGATACATGTAGGGTTGTACTTTTGCACTTGAGTGATAGCACAGTGGGTAGGGCATTTGCCTTGCAAGCAGCCATAATGGCTGACCCGAGTTCGATTTCTTCGCCCCTCTCAGAGAGTCCAGCAAGCTACCGAGAGTATCTCGCCAGCACTGCAAAGCTTGGCAAGCTTCCCTTGACATAATTGATATGACAAACACAGTAACAATTGCCACAATGGAGACATTACTGGGCCTGCTCAAGCAAAATTGATGAGCAATGGGAGGACAGTGACAGATGTAATTAAAAAAGCTATGGCAGCTCAAGGAAGAGAGGCTGGAGTGGCACATTTAGGTGAGGGAAACATGGCCTCTATGGGATCTCAGAAAAGGGAGGAAGAAGGTTTAGATTAAATCCACGTTTTTGTCCACACGCCTGTGGCCCTGAATTCTCCCTGCTCTCCACAGGGTTGTAGGTTGCCTATGCAGTGTGTGACCAGGACTCAGAGGCAGAGGGTGAGCACTCCTGGCACGAGGGGCCATGAAGAGGCCATTATGAGCAGGAAGTGCAGGTAGAAGGAGCAGGAAGTGACATCTCTGCCATGAGCAAGCAAAATAGAATTTGGAACCCTGGTCAAAAGGCACTCATGTTCTAGAAACGGCAGTTTGCTTGGTTCACGTGCTGGTGAAGGAGAGACACAGCTATGTTGTGCTGCTGGCATCGATCCCCAGACTGTGGCCGAAAAAGCC